AATCGTGTTGTTGTTGATCATTATTCACCAAAATTTACATATTTATAACTCGAAATTGGATTCTGTACTACCAGACATTCTAAAGAATTCAACAACTAAAAAAAATAATGGTAACTCGTTTCTAAAATATCACCAAATTTTTTGCATGCATTAATATAGTACAAGCATCTGTGAAAATGTGTACAAAGCTACATTTTTAAGCTAAAAACAATGGTCCGATAAGTTCGTAAAAAGTAAACTTGCTTCAGTCTTTATTTAAGTGGACCAAAAATGGTATGGGTTCTGGTCGTAGTTTCGTCATCATCCAATGTTTCAAGTCTGATGTATTTTTCATTTCGATACCAGTCGTACTTGTCGATATGATGACTGTTCAGAAAAGTATGGTCGTTTAAAAAAAAACGTTGCTATGAATATATGTCTGGATTAACTTCGTTTCTGAGATACAGGGCGTTGAAATTTAAAAAATAACTGTATTTATAAAGTATCATGAATATCTTTACACCGATTTGGTTTATATTCGCTACAGTTATTTGAAGTGAAAAAGCGCTTATTTAGCCCGTAGATTAAGCAACTCCAGAAACACCCAAAAAAATTTTGACACAATTTCAGTTTCAGAAGTCTTTCCATTGTTGAAAAGTAATTCGACTGATATATTGGAAGGTTCAACGTTTAAAAACATCATTTTTATCATATTCAAAGGAAACATCTTATTCTATAGATTCCTCGTCGTTATTTCATCGGAAACTTGGCTCAAAATTTTTCAATGTTATTAATTTTGAATGAACCTAGTTGACGATGTTAACTCTTTCGTAGATTATTTTCCCCATTTATTTGTATATATTTTTTGTGGTCAATAAGAGTTCACGTTATCCAGATTGAGTCCCTTGACCAAACTTCATAACAAAAATATCTCCTTTTCACAGAATTGATCACCTGATTCATGAATTTGTCTCTAATTTATTTCACTACCAATGTGAAAAACAATTTATAAAAGCAAAGTAGAGTTCTCTGGTGATATTCTCCGCTATCTTGAAGTTCTCAACTGTAACTTTCTTCAATATTTTACTCTCACTATGAATATTACTCAGAAAATGGTTTCTACCATAGTTCTTAGAACGGGTGTGAAGTTATCCACATCCACAAAGTACACTGAGAAAAAAATATCGAATTATTTTTTCATTTACCGTTTTTCACCTAGGATTTTTCAATATGATACGCTTATTGACTGATTTGGTGAAAAAAAAAAGAACCGTCCTAGTTTATTAAACTGTATATTTAAAAAATTCGTAACATGAAAAATCTACTTTGTACACCTACAATATCGAAAAATGGTATTTCTGATGATCTATTCGACAGAAAAAACTTCACGTCATAGTTTTTCAGGCCTTCTGAGTGGTTGGAAATGGGGTGAGAATATTAAAAAACAGGAACAGGAAAAATCGACTTTGAACACCTACAGAATTGAGACATGTTATTCTTGATGATCTATTTGACGAAAACAACTTCACGTTATAGTTTTTCAGGCCGTCTGAGGGGGTGAAAATGTGGTGGAAACTTGAAAAAAATCGTATTTCTCAAAATTGAATGTGTACACCTACAAGTTTGAGATATGTTATCCATGCTGATTTATTCGACAGAAAAACCTTTACGTCATAGTATTTCAGGATGTCTGAGGGGTTGGAAATTCAAATAAATCATATCTTTGAAAATTAAATTTGAAAATCAAAATTGAGATACTCCTAATGATCGATTTACCAAAAAAAAAACACCGTGTCAGAGATTTTCAGTTCTGAGAAGGTGGAAATGGAGTGAAAACAAAGTGACTGGAAACTACCATATCAGTTGTTTTATGTAATGAATTGATGAATGTTAGCGTAAGGTATGCAGGAGTAGATTACTTGGAAAACAGTCTGACAACGTTGCAAAGTCAGTATGATTTAGATGCTCTATATGAAACCGGTGTGAACTTAGCAGCTAAAAGGTAGCAGCCAAAATCCCGAAAACACCCGAGCGCACATAGACGTACGTCGAAAAACTATTACGGAGAAATAGACATTAAAAAGGTGAAAAATGATTAGAAGCTCTATTATTATCGCTGAACGAACACCTCGGGCAGCTCTTTCGAATGTGCCTACTAAAAAAGCAGATTCAAAAAAAATTATAAATAGGGGATGAGTACATTTGTAAGAAATTATCTATCACTGAAAACATGTATTGATATCAGACGTAGTAGATGAGACCAGCAGTTAGAAGGGCTCAAATAGTGAAATATTTGAAGGGGGTCACACGGAGACATACCTTTAAAAAGTAATCGAAACTCCTAGAAGAAAAAAACTTTTTTTCATTAAATTAGTCAATAAGTGTATAATATTGAAAAATGGTAGGTGTACAGAGTCGGTAAATGAAAACACAAAAATTCGATGTTTTTTTCTCAGTGTACTTTGTGGACGTGGATAACTTCACACTCCTGTTCTTAGAAATGAATTGGGACATGATTCGAACATTCTGATGGGCCAGATATTTTTCACCTGTGAAATATAAAACAATGAATACACACATCATCGCGAAGTTTTATAAATGAATTTTATTTGGAAAAATTAGGAAATCATGGTTGTGCACAGAGAATGAAAAACAATAAAACACCTCCTCAGAATGTCTGTCAGTTCATACACGGCAGCCATAACATAATAGTCAGTATGTATTCATATTTCATCCTAAGTTGACATCATAAATTCGAAACTGGATTCCTGAATAAGTTCTCTGTAAGTGATTAATGTTCAAAAATGATAGTTCTAGATTATATGCCCGTTTACATGAATGATTGCTACTTTTGAGCAAGGGAGATTACAGGAATCATTAAATTATTCAAAAAAATATAATAATCACCATCAGCTACTATGAGAAAACGGAATATATCGATATACTATCCCAGAACTAAATACCTAATGAATTATTGTGGACAATGTATATGTACCGCCGAAGCAAGTACAAAGTCAATACAAAATTTCTTTCCGAAATATTAGTTCCACTTGGTAGAAAAACTTTGGAATAAACGAACAGGTAAAATGAACAAAGAAGAATCGGCTTTTGAATATCAACCCGTAATGGCCAACCTTCTTAGAAAACACAGCAGAGAGACTCCATAAAGAAATTTACGACAAACATAATCGGTTTTCACTTTTGTCGGTACAATATTATTTTTCTTTATATTAAACAAAGAATATTGGGCTTTATTTATCTGATTGTCAGTAAACAACCACTCACTAACTACAGCGTTATCAGCACGTTTTTTTTCAAGGACAAAACACAAGCACCACAGGAAAATCCTCAAGGCGATTCACATTGAATTTGAATCGCTGGAGATTAAATCCATTTGGAAAAACGTTCTCAGGAAGTTTATTTCACATAAACGCAGTTCTCCAGATGAAAGAGTTCTTAAACAGTGAAGTTCGAGGTGTGCCGAGTTGAACCTCAAAACGATGAGAAGCCACAGTCCGTCACGTATTTCAGATATTCACTACTCTGGGTAGGATCAAATGTTCTATGTTACTTGAACAATTCCCCTGAAAGTATCTATAGAAGAGATACAAATCTCCAACCTTTCTTCGATGTTCAAGGCTATCAAAGGTTTCACGCGATGTTCGCGTCTCCAATTAGGCGGATGGCTCTTTTTTGGATGGAATCCAGCAACTTCATGGTATGTTTGGGAGCAGAGCTCCATACATGAGAACAATTTTCTTGATTATTGTCGTTTAGTTATAACTGGGGAAATTGAAACGAATATTTATATTAGGTCTTCATTTAATGAACTTACATAATGTAATAACAGTTGTTCCTAACATTGATTAAACTATTAGATATAATGCCAGTTTTCAACAATGGCATGAATACCCGGTTTGCCCAACACCCCGGGTAAAGTGGATTCAGTACTAGGGCAAAGCGAATAACATCATTATTTGTCATGGAACTAAACATTGGAAATAAATTAATTATCAAAAAATAAAGGAGTAGGTATATAATTTTTTTTTCTACAATGCTAAATTATTGTAGTTTTATCACAAACAGAGGCACAGAACTCATGAATAAATAAATAAACATTGAAAATTGAAGGAACATTTTTTTGCTACAATACTTATCAATTCAGTTATCACAAATAAAGAAAAATGAATAAATATCGAAAATTAAAGGAATATATTGGTTCATTGTAGTTATCACAAACAAAATCATCACTTCGCGGTTACCTACTTCGCGGCGATTAAATCCTTTTGACCTTACCACAGTTGTCGATTCTGGAGTTCTTAAAGTCAAGTTAGTATGACGTGCATTGTTACATTTATCCCAGCTCACAGGATATTGTAAATGGTTGCGTTTTGCATACTCAAATGTTAGACTCATAAATTCATCCCGAGTAAGGCCAAAAAATACTATGTCGATGTCTTGTAGATTGGTCACCATTTCATTTTCTTGAACATCCGTGAATATAGGACGGCATCGACCTAACTGTGGATAAGCAATTCCACTTTTGACATGTCTATATAGTGTAGCATAAGTTAACATTTTTTGCCCTCCCTTCAATCGATCCTCCTGCCAAGGACATATTTATATCGTATGTTTTCTTTACTCCAAGATCCCTGTGTTGTCTTTTTTTGTATTTATACGCCATCTGCAATAGAAGAAATCGCTAAAACTATATAACTTTTCATGACCGGGCAAAGTGAATACAGTATCCACTTTGCCGTTCAAATGCATTTTTGAGATTATCCGAAATTACTGAAAAACCAGAGCATCTAAACTCGTTATCTACGGATAATTGCAAGCTACATGATCATGCATTCAATCCTGCTCATATCAAAGGGCATGTCGCAAATAGTATAATAGGGAATATTCGCTTGGCCCAGGGTATCTACTTTACCCGGGTTTCCCCTACTCATTTTTTTACATTATCTTTCGAAATTACTAGTGTTATTTACAGCTAATCTTCACTCATGTATTTATTTCAGGTATGTTCTAGTCCCAGAAAAAAACACACTACACAGTCCGAATCCCAGATTCCTTCCGTTGGACTCTCCATTCGCTCGGACTCCCAACCCGACACATCCTCCCCTTTTCGCCGCCATATTGAGAAGAACAACAGGTATAAAAGTACTGGAATGCCATGCCTTCATTTGTAAAAGGGAAGTCGCTGCCAATGCATTGGTAAGATGTTGTTTTCATGCCTACGCAGATTCTTCTTATGCGAAACAAGTGGATACCGCAGGGAGTATATACGGGACCCTTGCTTCAGAGAGATTGTCGAATAAAGATAAGGTGAGAAGTATTTCCATAATATGTTATCCTCTGACGTTGACTGTTGACTGTTGGTTAAAGAAGTTTGGCAGACAATATTTGAGATGATTTGTTTCCAATTTTCACAAATTTGTAAATCTTTCATGATGAGAAAAACAGAGTATATCAATAGACATACATGTACATCAAATAGTTATTATCATCATTTGATGGATTCAGTGATATATTCACTATTGAAAAAAATCATTGTTTGCAGGATTTCAATAACTTGAAGAGTTTCCTTTCTACGTGGTTTGATATGAAAATACATACACTCATTCACAGTCTGTAATGTAAAATTACTAGTGTAACACATAAAAATATGCTGTTAAAATTAAAAATATAGTTGAAAACAAGAAATAATTTCAAAATCTTGTAGACTTGAATTCAGTTGTGACATCTGAATACCTTCAATTTTTAAAATAAAATTGAAATACTCAATGTTTGTTTGAAGGTGGTTGACAATGTTTCGTGGTGCATTTCATCAGTTCGGACATCCATTGTCTGATAATCTTCCAGTGTTAACTGGACTTATTCCTCAGAGATCTGACTATTTATAGATCACTCGAGTGCTTTCACCTATTCCCTCTTACCGCTTCATCGGTTTTAGCGGGAGCTGACCGTTTGGCGGGAATTGGTCGTGTTCCGATAGATTATTATGGGTCACTATGTGTTGCGTATCTCTATGCTAGATTGACTAAATGCGTTGTTGAATAACATATATGCGGCTTCTTTGAATTTTCTCCTAAACTAGTGTTCCTCTTTTTGGATGATTTCAGCTTGAGACCACTTGATGTTATGTTTATGAGCCCAAACATGCTCTGCTATTCCAGATTTGCTGGTTTCTCCTCGCTGTGTGCGTTTCTTCTGCTCGGAAATGTGAACTTTCAATCGAAATGTCGTGAAGTAACTTGGCTTGGAATCTTTTAATTTTTAATTTCCATTTCTTGTTAATAATTTTTGTTCTCTCGTGTTAATAGTTCAATTTTTTAATTGTTGCTTTCATTTCATTTCATTGTAATTTCAGTTTTCTTTTTTGCTTAATATAATAGTTATTTTTTAAATAATCTTTTTAATTTTTTTAGATTCTTTCAGGAATTTCAAATCAATTTATAGCATATTAGACAATGGAAGTCCGAACTAATGAAAATGCCCAATGTTAGAAACCAGAAAGTTTCAAAATAAAGAATAAGTTGAAAATAGTTGACATGATTTAAATTTATTTCTCCTGACTGAATCAGAAAAGTAGTTGAAAAAGAAAACATTCTGGTTTTTTTCATCCATTTCAGATATGTGATGTTTTTTTTTTAATTCAATCAGCCTAAACAAATTCAGCTAAAGTAGAGACCAAACAAGATTAAATTTTTCATTATGTTTATATTTCCTACCATAATTTTCACTGATACAAATAAATGCATCATGGTCCGTCGAGCAGTAAAATTTCAACACCAAAGTGTCTTACAAACTGTTGAATATATGTTGAATGATTCCCAAATGATAATAGAGCTGAACAAATTATGCTTTATTTACTATTATACCATGATGATAATTTGTTTTGGAATCAACGAATATGTCTTTCAAACCTAATTAATCAAAATTCATTACGCATATTCGTTACATGGATTATGCTTTCACTGGCCATTCTGTTTTCTGTCACTGTTGTACAATGACCTTTTCAGGTCAAAATACAACGATATATCTGTAAACGATATTGTCGAAGGAAAATAGTGGGGCTTTGGTATTTCAGATCATATCCAAAAATTTCATAAAAAATATAGATATAAGGTTCAAAATATACCATTTTCACTAATAGTTTCAATTTCACAATGAAATATGCACCTCCAAATGTATGTTTACAGATTGAGGAATGGAGGATGAACAAATCCCAGTCCGGCTCCACCATGACCCTAAACACAATAGCCAACTCGACAAAGGATGATATCAGTATCTACAACGGAGACGAGAATCACAAAGTCTGGGCCGGTTCACAAGACAATCTGGATGGTATTTACGATGCGTACGCCAGCAGTACCATCTCGAGACCCTCGAGACCTCGCCAAATAGCACAACCAGTATCGGTACCTCCCCCACCAATGAAAGAAAAAAAGAAAAAGAATAAAGGAAAGTCTTTGAGCGGTTCTCGGGAAGAATTGTACCACCCTGTAATGAACGGAAAAGCAAGTAGCGTTTCCGGTTCTATGATGAAACCCAGACCCATGCCCCAAATGGGTCCGGTTCCAGGACCTCAGCCTATTTATATCATGGCTCCTCATCCAGGGACCTTACCGAACCCCAAGTTCTTTAAACATCACGGTAAGACAGGATTTGTTTTGCTTTGAAATATGTGTTAACTTTGAATATTTGTTTGTTGTGATATTTAAACAAATTGTTTGATTCTAATCCAGTTACCCTCGACTAACATTAGAACCAGAACGACAACAAGGTTCATCATCATCAATTATATCAAATTTGTAACTCAACATAGTTCTGGTTTATGGTAAACCGCTGAAGTGTAATCCCAGTAATACATATGTTCGTTTTCGGCATTATCACGACAATTCGGACGGTAGCCTGGTGGGCTGACGTGGGTGGTTTTCATCACTCACTCAATCCACCGCTGTGTGGACCAATGGTTCTAACCGCAAAGTCGGACGATCAATTTTTACGCCCTATCGTCCAACCCGTTTTGGGAATCACTCGTTAACCGGTAGCTTGGTAGCTGTATTTGAATTTCAAGTCGTCCTCGTTGACTATTTATAGGTTACTGTGGGCTATAGTAGTAGCGTGGAATGTCCTGATTGGTTGGTTGTTGAAATATATGGATGGTGTGATGCATCTGGCACAACTGGAGGTACAGTGATTACTGTTATACTTGTGCTCGGGCCTTAGTTTTGAATAAAATTGTTTTCATGAAGCAGAGAAGTAGTGTGCGTATTTTTGTATCTCTGCCCATCTTTTTGAATTTGACAAACATACTCTCACTTCGCAACAAATAAACAAACAGACCTACAAACATTACTTTTAGACAGATCATAACATCGACTTTAACAGCTGCAAACAGATCGCAAGTATACACCACAAGAAAAATCGTTAGGGAGGTAATCGAAACTGAGGCGATTGGCAGACTGAATGAGATAGAACAGCTGCATAGAAAATAATCTCTCTAATTTTCAACCATCATTTTCAGCTGACAACGTTGGGTTCTGTGATATCGTTTTCGAATTTCTCCCTTCCTCCTGTAACTGTTTTCTCTCTCTGGAAGTACTTGTCTGTCCAGTTTATGTATTCATTTTCTCTTCATTGGTTTGAAAGCCAACCTTCTGTGCAGTATTTTTGAGCCTTCCGAGTACCTTCTCCAATTCTCGTTCTAGAAATAGTGGCGATATCGTCTTCATAAGTGAGGATTTGGTGTTTTTTATAATATATGACATTTTCGATTCATGTTCCATTTAATAGAGTTTTGGATGACGGATCTTTCTGTCGTAATCTATCCTTTTGACCTGGAAGGTTTTCGAAAAATTACTTCAATTCTGATTTTGTTCTCTGTATATTCCAACATCATCTTAATGGGAATAATGTGCAGTTGTACAGACAGACTGAAAGAAAGAAGAGAAATAACCACTAGAAAAGTGCAGGCAAGTTGAAAAAGTAGAAAAAATACATGAATGAATATGTTGAAGAAATGGAGTTCCAGATAAAAAAGAAAGAGAAGCAGGTCAAGGAGATGTTAATAGATGCGTTGGACGAATATAGGAGGAAGATCTTGTAGCTGATCATCATTCATGATACTTTGAGAAAATGAAACGGAAAAGATAACATAAAATTTGTCAAACATTCAGTACTTCTACATCTGCAACATATCCTTCAATGTATTTTACCTCTTCCATAGTTCTGAAGAAAAAAATTATAGAATTTCGGTACAGCTGATTAACGGAAAAACAGATTTTGAAACAGTTCTTTTATTTAAACAATCATTCAACGCCAATTGATAAATGTTTGAAACCAAAAGGTGACTCAGTAATGTGTTAACATATAAGTCAACCAACACCAATTTTCACATATTTTATGGCTTAAGTACCTATACTTCACTATTTTCCGCATAAATCACAAACAGAATTAATTGCCGATGAACATTCGGTGCTGATATCGGTATCAGCAGAGATGTTTAGTACCAGAAAAGTTATGTTCGATTTCTCAGTATCAACAGAATAAAAATGAACTTCGGAAGAAAAAAGGATGAAAAGTTATATGCGTAAATGAAAGTTTCTCAAAATAAATTTGTATTTCAATACATAATATGAATATTGGAATAAATTTCGATTCCTCAACATACAATTGATAAATGTTTAAAACCAAAAGGTGACTCAGTAATGTGTTAACATATAAGTCAACCAACACCAATTTTCACATATTTTATGGCTTAAGTAGGTACCTATACTTCACTATTTTCGGCATAAATCCCAAACAGAATTAATTGCCGATGAACATTCGGTGCTGATATCGGTATCAGCAGAGATTTTTAGTACCAGAAGAGTTATGTTTGATTTCTCAGTATCAACAGAATAAAAATGAACTTCGGAAGAAAAAAGAATGAAAAGTTATATGCGTAAATGAAAGTTTCTCAAAATAAATTTGTATTTCAATACATAATATGAATATTGGAATAAATTTCGATTCCTCAACATTTGAAAGACTAGACAGCCTGTATTCAGATATGTTCGTCAAAACATATAGGTGTTGTAAATGTGTTTAGAAAATAATTTGAAGTTGAATTAAATTCCTTCTGAATGATTATATCACCAGCATCCTCAATTAAATACTTTTTGAAATGAGATTAGAAAAATTATAATTCATCAAATTTTGTAGTTGGAAGAATACAAACATTTTCACTTCGTAAGTTCTGTAATCAGCATTTTTCTTCATAGGTAATACCTATTCCCATCGTCCAAGAGGTAAGGTTTTGATCCCAGCCCGACCGATACCACCACCATTAGTACCCGTAGCTCCAGTCATCATTCCAACCCCAACGTTGCAAAAAAGCAAGAAGAAGAACAAACACCTGGAAGAACCTATATACATGCCTAGCAATAGAGCTCTCAGCCCTGTTGCCAGTTATCAGCCTGTTAATTTTCCCCACGAAGCGTACCTCATGCAGCACTACGCCACCATGGAGTCACAGGGAAAACAACAGCGGAAAAGTAATCGGAAAAAGTCATCGGAAGAAGTTAAAATGAATAAGAAACTTGCCCAAAGTATGAACGGACTTGATGATCCCAATTTGATGAACGATGAGTCACCATACAACACTGGAATTTACAAGAAAAAAGGGCACTTGAACGAAAGGGCGTTTTCCTATTCTATCAGGCAGGAGCATAGGAGTCGGAGTTATGGAAGCTTGGCGAATTTGAAGTTTGCCACGCCCATACCAAACGGACATGATGTGAGTCAATACTTTTCATTATTATACAGTGTGTATTTAATATTTATGCTTCTGTAGTCGAATCAACATTCACATTGTATCATAATAGAATGTTAAATGCACACCTCTCAAGTGGTTTTTAAATCTTGGTGAGTTGACCGTGAAACACCTTGCGTATATGCAAAATCGCGTTCTTTTCATTTGGCACTGATTATTATTGCTGTCTTCAAAAACTGTTTTGAAACAGTAACGTCAAATTAAATCCGATTAGTAGGAAACATATTTTGTAAAGCGGTAGGAATTAGTGATTTATCATGGGATAACTAAGTGTACGAGATAACATTGAACTTATGCGCCTTCTTTGATTCGACCACCAATAGTGATTTTAAATTTTCCTTAAAAAAATAGCTAATACGTTTTCTTGTTTCATAAACTACACCTCACGATTTGATTGCCACAAACTTTATTTGAAAAATATATCACGACATGTTTCGCTAACACATTAGCTTTATCAACAGTGATTTGAATTAAATTACTATGGATCTTCATTAAGTAACGGCCGAATCAATGAAAAAAAAAGTTTTCTTGTATTTTAACCTATAGAAATATTCGCAGCAAGCCTTGATTTTTGTAGACAGAAAATGATATTTGGTCACAAAGTACGGTTTATTTGAGCTCTACAATTCGAAATGAAGTTCTTCGAAACCGGAGAAAAGATGCAAATTTTTGGAAGGTGTCCCGATTTCACATGGGCACACTGTAAATTGCTCGTATACTCAATAAATCTTCAAAAAACTGTTCTTGCTATATTCCCTATATTTGCGATAATAAAGGGTTCGTTCTTTCGGCAAGATCTTCGAAACTAATTAATACAGTTTATTGTATGATTTTCACTATAAAAGGTTTTACAAAAACCGCGACACGTGTTTTGCTATACAATAGCTTCATCAAGCGTAAACTAAAAGTTACTTATTAAATACAACTATTTTACACTCTAACATATTACCTACTTATATGCCTACTTTCTAATGAATGAATCTACCTGTAAAGGTCAGGTATGAATTCATTAACTATATGGAAAAAAATTCCGAGATTACCGTAAATATACTCAACTATTCTGGAAGTAAATAGATTAAATAATGACGAATTATTCAGTTCAGTTTGATTGGTCATAAAATATTGAGAGTTTCTGTCGAAGAAGCACTTCAAATCATACAGAAGAAGCTATCCGAAGATGGGAACCTGAAAGATATAACGAACTTACCCATACAAGTAGTCATGGAATAATAAGGATGCTGTGTACGAAACTGCCATTTCCAACTGTAGAACGAATTCTTTACGCAAGATGAGGGACTGCCAATGGGATCGCCACTTCCACCGGTTATAGCTAATACATATATGGAGTGGTTTGAAACTCTGGCTTTCGAAGAAGCCCACAAGAAGCCCTGAGTCTGGTTGAGATACGTAGACGACACCTTCATAATATGGAACCATGGGAATACAGAACTAGACACTTTCCTGAAGCACATCAACAACGTAAGTCCTTCCATCACTTCCACAATGGAAAAGGAAGTCCACAACAAATTGCCTTTCTTAGACGTATTGGTGAAGAGGTCCGACACCAAATGGAAAACATCTGTATATGGAAAACCCACTCTCACAGGACAGTATCTGCCAGAAATCCAACCACTATCAATCGACTAAGAGAAGAATCATCAAGGCTCTACTAGACCATGCTTTCGGGCTCTGTAATACAAAGGAAGGTCTCGAAAAGAAACTACGCATCATCAAAAATGTCCTTCAACGGAATGGTTACTCCAGAGTGGTGATAGAACAGGCTTTATCTAGAAGATAGCAAGAGCTTCACAAGGTAGAGAAGCCGCCACAACCAGTACTTGTAGTTCCCTACATCATAGGATTATCGGAAATGATAAAAAGGATTGGGTCCAAGTATAACATCAGGACCTGCTTTAGATCTGGAAACACTATCCATAGTAGCGTCACGAAAAGCAGGCCACCAAACGCGGACTGCGATTCCAAGAATTGCATTTACCGAATACCCTGCGAGTGCGGAGAATCATACATTGGTGAAACAAAGAGGCCATTGAAAGTAATGTTCAGTTCTTTATTGAAATTCGCCTCTGACAAGGGCACATGTATCAGTCTGTGGTCTTTGTGCTGATACGGGTGGGTGGACAAATTATGTATGATAATAACTGTATGTGCTCTGAACTTCGAAAGCTGAATATACATTTAAAATAGTGTTTTTCTCTATAGAAACAAATATTGCTTTAAATCAAATTAACACTGCTAATCCTGATAATGATAGTAAATGATTTCATTCGTTTGGCATTATTATCAAGAAGAGATATATCATTGGAAGAAATATTTTGTTATTTTTGAACTCAAACAAAAAAATATGTTACATACATAAAAAGATAGAAAAGTAGAAAGACAAAAAGCATTTTCCATATCTGATTGTGAAACTCCTACATTTCCAAAAACATAATATGTAGCTGAAATATTCAGCTTTGTTGGGATATGTCTGAAATAATTCACATTTAGAACAGCTGCGTAAAATGTAACTGGTTTAGGTAGTTCTTGAATACTTATTATCAATTATCTTCAATTTAAGAACTAGAGTTTGAATAACTGAATAATAATAATGACTAGAATGAAATAATGATAATAATAAATGAAGACAGCAAAACGTTCAATCAGATGGAAAATTCGAGTTTTATAAAATTGAGATTCATTATAAAACTCCACCCTTTGGATTGGAAACGATGTATTATTATTGATATTCCGAATATCAGAAACGTTATCGACCCCACTTCACATCCGAGGCATTTGAACTCAATGAAAAATAAAGGAAACCAATTCACATATAAACTGATTTTGTGTAATCACCCGTACGTCTGTAATTGTTCACTAACAATTGTCATATCGGGAATGTAAAAAAGTACATTAATACTTATATCATGTTTTCCTAGAACTTTCTACCTGCAATCCATTTAGTCGTGATAAACTTCAGAATGGCATTGAATTCCCTATTAAGAATGCACAATAAATGATTAATATTGTTTTCATTCAATGGCATGATGGTCATGAATAGTACTTCGTTTAATTGAAGTTTTATAAATAATGATTGAATGATCTCTAACCATCGTTGTCTGATGATTCACATTCAATAACGACGTGGAAGTCGTGAACAGAATTTTGTTTTATATATAATAAAAAATTTGTTAATTCATTCATAATGAATTGATAACTTTTCCACTCGTTGAAAAGAAGTTTCATCTTCAAGGAATGATAGCAGTTCAAACAAGGGTTCGAAAATTATTACTGAAAACCTCTTCATTGTTTAAATTGTTTTAATTGACGGATCAAGTGATATTTGTAGATTAGTTTAGATTATCACTTTCATGATTTACCTAGATGTTGTTTAAATGACAACTTTTTCTCAATCCATGTGTTGAAAAGCTCAAATTAAGATTTTAGTTTTTTTCACCAATTACATTACGTGCAATATTACTCCTCTACTGATAAATTGGGACATATTATTGATATAGAGTAAAATCAATAGTAGCTAGACCTGAAACAAATCCTTGTGGAATTCCTTAACGAACACGATGATCCTGGCTATTAATTTCAATGATCATAATATGGGTTGAATGATTGGACTGCATCCAATACAGCCAGCAACTTCTGGGTGAAGGTGTTACTTCAGCCAACCAATGTGTTTTTCATCTACACCCAGAAATAATAATTAATCTTCGAAAATCTATTAAGACTAGAGAATTATCACCAGTTAAAACGGGTACCACCAATATTTTTCAGTGCAGCAGTGGACTTATTTCCTCTCACGAAAGAAAATACTTGCAGTTTACACATCGTAGCAAGAAAGATGACTTCGATAATTGCTTACCTTTGAAAATGTATGTCGCGGTTGTAGACGAAATCTCATTTTAAAAAATCGCAAATGAATCTGAAATCAGCTAGTATTTTTTGACTTATTTGATAGGTATTCTATAGAATCCATTTAACAAGACGAGAAGCAAAATGGTAGTTGAACGACAAATAGGAAGTTATTCCACAAATCGACCAAAAAACAAAAATGGTTTCCCATATATGTTCTTGAATGTAATTCTTGTGAGACCAGCTAGTGATCGATGGATATCAGCAAAAGTTTTTGCTGAGTTCATTGCCGCCGAAAAAGATTTACCAATGGATGAGAGAGAAGTATCGATGCTCAGCGCCATACATGCAATCTCTCCAAAACTGTTGAAATTAATATAATTTTATAGCAGAGACTTGCTTCCTTGCTTTCTGAAGTGATAACTTATTATGGGAGGGTGGACAGCTTCGTTACCTGACGCGTTACAACGCCAGTGTGTCTGGCTTCCCTTTCTCTCACGCATACGTCAGCGGAAGGCAGGATCTTCCTCTCTCGTCGGACAAACGCTCAGTGTTTAGTGAAGAGATATACTGTTGATAGTATTATAGGAATCTAACCAGCAAGCACGTAATATTCTTTCATTTTGTAATACGTGGCTTAAAGATTATGATACTAATTTTGTGTATGTACATTATTAGGATTGTTATTTATTTCTATAAAAGTAACAATTGGCTTATGGTATCATATGTATCATTGCTTATGCATTATCATATTAATATAAATTAAATTCAAATAACCTAGATTTTTTCAATATTAAATAGTTCAACTTAGATTAGTTTAAGTTATACATTTTAAAAAATCGCAAATAAATCTGAAATCAGCTAGTATTTTTTGACTTATTTGATAGGTATTCTATAGAATTCATTTAACAAGACGAGAAGCGAAATAGTAGTTGAACGACAAATAGGAAGTTATTCCACAAATCGACCAAAAAACAAAAATGGTTCCCCATACATGTTCTTGAATGTAATTCTTGTGAGACCAGCTAGTGATCGAAGGATATCAGCAAAAGTTTTTGCCATTTCCTAAAATAGTCAAGTTCATTGCCGCCGAAAAAGATTTACCAATGAATGAGAGAGAAGTATCGATGCTCAGCGCCATACATGCAATCTCTCCAAAACTGTTGAAATTAATATAATTTTACAGCAGAGACTTGCTTCCTTGCTTTCTGAAGTGATAACTTATTATGGGAGGGTGGACAGCTTCGTTACCTAACGCGTTACAACGCCAGTCTGTCTGGCTTCCCTTTCTCTCACGCATACGTCAGTAGAAGGCAGGATCTTCCTCTCTCGTCGGACAAACGCTCAGTGTTTAGTGTAGAGATATACTGTTGATAGTATTATACAAATCTAACCAGCAAGCACGTAATATTCTTTCATTTTGTGATACGTGGCTTAAAAATGATGATACTAATTTTGTGTATGTACATTATAAGCATTATTATTTATTTCTATAAAAGTAACAATTGGCTTATGGTATCATATGTATCATAGATTTTTTCAATATTAAATAGTTCAACTTAGATTAGTTTAAATTATCACTTCAGTCCCGTGGGCAACCCGAGACGCCCACGTTTTTTTCTTATGGAGAGATAATTCTGAAACCATAGGAAGGAAGATTTCAGTTGGTTGGGAATTAGGTGCTGATTCTTTTTTACGAAAATTAAATTTTTTTCAGCGGGTAACTTAAGTGACCTAAATGATGAACTCTGTATTGGAGATCCTATCTATTCGTTTCCTGACGTAATTTTAATCAGAACATGAAAGATAGGATGCTATAAATTATGATGTGGAGGACTGAAAGATACTGCTGCGAATAGACATATTGTTAACAATTTTAACAAGTTTAAACTTGTGAAAATCATCAATTTTCATGTATAGATTCGTATTTTGAACCACTGCATTTCAATGGGCCACCTATAATGTTATAGCCGAAGTGAAATCCTAAAAAAACGCAGTTAAAATCATCTTGCTATCGTCAGGTAGAAAGTATCTCTGATCATCACAAATCTGATCATTTGGACCGCATACTAGCTACCTCACAGCAAATCTTGAAATCGTTTAGTTGGTTTCCGGATTTTTCCGTGGTCATCTTTGGTTACAATCTCCAAACGTTTCAAATGCAACTACAGCAGTCATCTTCAGACCTCGCCACTGAAGATGACTGTGGCAGTTGAAATTGGAGATTGTAACCAAAGAAGACCACGGCAAAACCCGGAAACTAACCGAGACATTAACGCCAGCCGTGAAAACCTACATACCAAATGCAATGTTCGCAAAAAAATATGTTCTTTAAACTAAAGCTGCTGCTAGATATTCTCCACATCTCTCATACAAGTCAGGCCATATACCTTTGTCAGAATCTGAGCAATGCTTTGTTGATTTTTGGTAATGAAAACTATACTTGTGATGCACTGTTTGAAACCTTTACTGTAGTAATGAATATTGCTAGAGTTTTTCCCAACACCAAACCGTTATTTTAACACCTCATCATCAAGGAAGATCAAACTGATCACTTGGTGATCAATAATTATAGCCCATCTCGATAACTTTGGCTGTTAGTAATAACAAAGTAATCTACTCTTTGATGGTGGATGCAAAAAAGTTTCGATTTGAAAGGACAGAAACACATCTGAATTGATGACGTACTGAAACTTAGGTTGGACTGATTTATTTTATTAGATTAGAGACATATTAAGGTACGTATTCACCAAAAAAGCGAGCATGAGCGAGCATTCGTATATGTTTGCTCGTGTTCGCTCGTGTTTGCTCGACATATTGATGTCTCGTCCACACCAGAGCGAATATCTTCAAGTTCGTAGTCGTAGTTGATCCATCTACTTTGTGCGAGCAACTTTTGATGTACCGCCTTCTTCTCGATCTTTTCTGAACGCGAACAAACATACGTTCGTTCGCTCGCTAGCCCGTACTCACCAGACGATTATTGATTCAGAATGCTCGTTCACTCTTGTTCGCTCGTGCTCGCTTTTTTGGTGAATACGCACCTTTAAGGTGCTCGCTCGCTAGCGAGTGAGCGAACGTATGCTTGTTCGAGTTTAGAAAAGATCGAGAAGAAGGCGATACATCAAAGAAAATACTTGTTCGCGGTCGTTTATTGTAGGTGCGTATTCACCAAAAAAGCGAGCACAAGCAAACATAGACGAATGCTCGCTCATGCTCGCTCGTGCTTGCTTTTTTGGCTTTAGGTTGCAAAGCTTAGATGATAAGAAGGATTTTTTTTTATATAATTCATACCTTTTCATCGGTGGGGGAAGCGGCTATAGATTTTTAAATATGTAAAAAAATACTGTTGCATGGACATACTCGAGCGCGTCAGATATTGATAGCATCAATATCCTACGTATTTTTGATAAGAGAGAAAATTAT